GCCACCGCTGCCGCTGCTGCCGCCGCTGCCGCTGCTGCCGCCGCTGTGGCTGCTACCGCTGGGGAATGGCCGCAAGCCAACACGAGCAGCGCCCTGCATTGATGGACAAGCCGGTAGTTGAGGAGGCAGCAGAGCAGCAGCAGTGTGGGCCTCCGTCGATGCAGCGTGGTCTTGGGGGATGGCCAGGCCGCCGCCGTTGTTTGGGGCGTTGCTGCAGGGAGGCAGGTTCGGTTGCGCCGCCATACCGCGGCCCCTCATGATCGAGCGCGTGAGCATGACGATTCCGCAGGCGGTGCGCACGCGCCCGTGCCTCACCTGAGGCGCGGGCGCCCCGCTGCCGCCGGCATCACCGCTGCCAGGCGCGCCACTGCCGCCGACAGCACCATTGCCACCAGTGTTGCCATTGCTGTCGACGCCGCCGCCAGCGCCCTCAGCCTCTGGAGCGGCTTCGTCTCCCAGCTCGCCCCTGCTGCGCCCGTCGCCCCTGCCGCGCCGGCCGCCCCTGCCGCGGCCACGGGGTGCGCGCGTAGCAGCAGGCCCCCGGCAGACCGGAGCGCGGCAAGGTGCAGCAATGGCGCCGCGCACAAAATCGTCGTGCAGTGGCTCCCGTGCCGCCGCGTCTGGGCTGCCAGCGCTGGGCGCCCCATCCTCCTTGCCCTCCGTAGAGTTGTGGCCGTGTCCGCCACAGCTGCTGCCGCCCTCACCATCGGCGCCCAAGCTAGCTGCGCGCTGCCGGGCAGCCGTGGTCGCCACCGCTGTTGCAGAGTCGTCCTGCTCCTCCTCCTCCTCGTCGTCCTCTGCCTGCGCCTCGTCGTCGGCCGTTCCTTCGCCGCGTGCCCGCTCATCGCCCCCGCCGCCATCGTCGTCGCCACCTCCAGCCCCCGCTGCAGAGCCGCGGCCCCTGCCCCTGCCCCTGCCCCTGCCACGGCCACGGGCTCCGCCGCGTGCAGCGCCATTGGCCCCGTCTTGGCCCGCGCGCCCGCGCCCGCGACCCCGGCCTCGCCTGCCGCCGCCCTCTCCCTGGGCCCTGCCGCGCCCGCGCCGGCGCGCCCTCTGCCGCAGCGCCGCGGCCTGGTGCTGGGCGCTGAGCTCAGCCAAGCGCCGCCCCAGCTCTTGTGCCGCCGGCAGCAGCGCATCGTACACTGGCCGCCGCAGCGGAGCGCGCGGTGACGCCTGCTGCTGCTGCTCCTGCTGCTGCTGGTCGTTGCAGGGCTGAGATGGCAGCAGCCAACGCAGCGGCGTGCCTGTTTCGCGCTCACCGCCCACGACCCCGGGCCCCCCACCTGCCGCAGCAGCTCTGGGCTTCGCCGCCGCCCCGCCGGCAGCGCCAGTGGGCCCCAGGACGTGTGCAAACGGCGCCTCCACTTCGCCGGCTTCGCCGGCTGCGGCCTGCCCGAGCTGGTCTGCCCCAGCGGGCGAGGCGTTGCGGCTGCCGTGTGCCCCGGGGCTGGTGAGCTGCGGCGCCGCCTCTCCCGACTCACCCTGCACCGCAGCTGGCTGAGCCGCAGCCAGAGCAAGGGACCAGACGTGCTCCATGCTGGGGCCCCTGCTTTGTGGTGCACAGTGGCGGAGGTGAGGGCAGCAAAGGGCTTGGGTTGCAAGGAGTGAGGTTTGACCGGATTGGGCAGGGAGGCGCCCGTGGGGCTTGGCATTCCCATGTAGGCACTCCTGTCGCCACACCGTGCGCCTTTCAAAGCAGGCGCAGCCATCCTGTCCCGCCCGCAGGCCTTGTCAGCGTGGCGGTTGTGGTCGAGGCGGCAACCTGACCAAGCTCATCTCCCGCCCCCCTGCCACCCGGGGGACCCCTGATCACGCACCACAGCTCATCAAGTTCAGCGCCGCCGCCCGACGACGTGCTGCCTGACCCGCCGCTCTGGCTGCCGCGTCCCGTCTGCAGCCGCCGCAGCGCCGCGCCCCCGCCACAGCCGTCCGCCTCCCCGTGCGCCTCGCCGCCGTCAGCGGCCCGCACACCCGCGCCGTCCCCGGCGCCGCCCCTGGCGCCGCCCCCCGCGCCGCCGCCATCTGCTGGACCCTCAGCCTGGGCGAGCCGCCTCGAGGCCTCCACAGCGGCGGCGTCCACCATGCCGTGCAGCACCCCCACAAGCGTTGCGGCGCGCGCCGCCGCCGCCACCTCCAGCTGCTGCTGCTCCGCCCTCGAGCCTCGGTAGGCGTCGGCGAGCGCGCCTGCGCGGGTGTTGGCCCGGATGTGTCGTGTGAGACACGCGGCGTTGGATGCTGCGCGCAGGGGCCACAAAAGGGGGGGCTTAGAGGGCCGCCAACCCCATGCCAGCCAGGCTTTCCACCCATGATCCCCACCGCGGCCAGCCCTGGCTGCAGCGACCAATAGTAATACAGCACCGCACTTCACCCCTCACCAGTGAACCCGCGCCAGTCGGCGTGCTCCGGCAGTGGCGGCGCCTGGGGCCCACACAGACGCGCCAGTACCCAAGCTGTCGCTGCCATGACACCCGCACACCAGCTGCCGCCACCAAAACCGGCCTCCCGTACACGAGACGGGGAGCCGAACGCGGCAGCTGACCAGTCGTCGGGAGGGGCTGGTATGTCCAGGACATCAGCAAAATTGACCCGCACGCTGCACGTGTCGGCCGGGGTCGATCCTGCGCCACGCTTCCCCTGCATGTTGGGCGCCGAGTGAGGGGCTCGCCGTTCCAGGTAGGCGGCCAGAAGGGAAGTTGCCACGTCCTGCACGACCATCCGCAGCCTGCTGGGCTGCCCCGGCTCTGCACGCCGCATGGCGACCCCGGAAGCCGGCGCCAGGCGCAGGGGACCATCAAGCTGCGACGGTTGGAAGTGGAATACCAGCAGCAGCGGCCGCGGCTCCAACGGCACAGCCGCGCCGGCCTGGCTGCTGGCGGCCTTCCCGCTGTCTGCTGCGCCGCTGGCCTCGGAGCGGGGGGCGCAGCTGGCCTCCCCTTGCGTGCCCCCCGCTGTAATGCTGGCATCAGCCTCCGCTGCTGCAGGCGGCGCTGGAGGGCCTGGCTCGCCCGGGCCATCCCCTCGGCCTGCTGCTGCTGGGGCCTGCCCCGCTGCTGAACCCCCGGGCGCCGACGAGCACGCTGCAGCCGCTGCCGCCCGTGGGTCCACCAGTCCCGGCCACAGCACCACCACCAGCAGAGGCGTCTCATCCTCCCTGGGGGCCTGGCAAGTTGATTGGGGGAGGGGGGACGGGAGCCCGGCATGCAGGGTGGAGAGACTGCGATTGTGAGGGCGGCGGTGCGATGCGAGGTGCGCGAGGCGGACGGGCAGCTAACAGCACCCAGGCCCAGGTCAGCCCTGACGCCGCTGCCCAAGGACAGCTCTGCGCTGCTTGCGCCTGGCTGTGGCCTGCTCTGAGCGGTCGCCCTTCCAAAACCCCTTGCAAGGGCGCCCCGTGCAGCGTCGCAGCTCACGTGGCCAAGCTGGCGGTGCGGGAACAGCGGCATCACCAGTGCGTCGACGCCGGTCAGCAGGTCAGCCCCCTGTCACGATTGCGCGCCACGGGGTTGCAGAGCGGGGCGCAGGAAGGGAGGAAAAGGAGTAGAGAGGCAGCAAAAAATTCGGTGGGGAACCATGCCATGGCAGGGGGTAATCAGCATTCGTTGTTTCGACTGTGGCAGCAGGGGCTGGCAGCGCGGCTGACCGCGCGGAGTGCACCAGCAAGCAGCTCTCTGTCTCGTGCTTGTCGACCAGAAGCGGCCCGGCCCTGCGACCACCGCGCCCACCAGTGTGGCGTCGAAGATCTCCTGCAAGGCCGCGTCGACAGCGCCAGCATCAGCCGCGCCCACACCGCCCGCGGGCACGGTGCCTCGCACCGCGTCAAACAGCTGTGAGCCAGCGTGAGCTGGAATCCAGCGCACACGCTGCGGGCGGTCTGCTGGGTTAATCACAGACAGTTCCCTGTGAGAGGGGGCGGGTATGGAGCAATGCACGCTTCAGGCAAAAGTGAGATGCAAGCAGATTTTCTGCCGGGGGTGCGGAGCGAGTGGCCCCACATCGGGCTGCAGGCGCCGAGGTGGCAGGCAGATCGCACTTTCCAGCATGCTCACGCTGCCGCTCCCCCCGCCTCCTCACGCACCCCAACAGCAGGTCCAAGGCGGCCCGCTCGTCGTCCTGGGGCTCGCCAGCAGTGCTACTGATCCCCGACCACCCCCCACCCAGCATCTCTGGGGGCAGCCGGACCACGTTGCCCCCCAGATGAACAGCAACAGGTGCCAAGGGCTCCTTGCTGGCACGACCCATCGCACTCGGGCTGTTCCGACCAAGGGGCCCTGGTGCTATGGCAGCTCCACCTTGTCACCTGAAACGTGGGGCGTGGCATGCTAGTGTGTGCGAGTGTGTGTGTGTGTGGGGGGGGGGGCGGGGGGCGGGGGGCACGGCAGGCATGGCAGCGCATAATTGGACGCAGGCATCCGAGCCACGCGCCCACCGAGCACGTGACAACGCGGGTGTGTGAGGGCATAGAATACAAATGCGCTCACGTTCAGCCTAGGCGGGTGCCCAGGGCCGCTGCATCAGCCAGATCGGTTCGCAGCAGATCTGCCACTCAGCTTTTTGAACAGATTTACACTGAAATGATACGATTGTATGCTCAACATGTCTTGTGTCCTAGTGCACGTAAGTCACCTAACCTGAGCGCAGCGAAGCCGGAACATGGACGTGATTGCTTCTTTCCCGCCCATCGTTCTGCCACGAATCCACTGGGTTACGCCGTTTGCTGGGCGCTCCGCAGCCAGAAATATCCATAAGAATCAGCACTGACACCCGCCTAACCGCTCAGTCCGCAGCTTACCGTATGACCGGATCAGCTGCTGGCGCGGAGTGACGGGCGCCGTGGCTTCTCCGCGCTGCCGCACCAGAGTCACCTGGAGGCAGGGTGCAGAACCACCCACCAGCATTCCAAATTTTCAGATGTATTTGTTCTGACGTGGGGGGGGGGGGCGTGTAGAAGGGTCTGTGGGGGCCCCCAGCTTCGTGGCATGGTCAGCCTGCAGGCTGCTGCAGCCCTGCACTAATGCATTGAGCCCCACACAGCCGTTGGCGCGGCGTTCATTCACCTCATCATACCAACCTATCCATATCAGTGTTTGCTTCGCGCAGATTTTATTATCATTCGTTGCACTTGGCCTGAAATCAACGTAGTCCGCATTTAAAAAACAAGCCTTGACGGTTTGAAGGGGCCAGGAGGGGTTGTGCCTCAGCCACCTCGATGTCTTGCAAGCAAACGCCAGGAAACCTGCCTTGCGAGCCTCCCTCTGCCAAGATGCCACCTGTTCTTTGCCAGCAGCATGCTGTCCTGGCCAGGGTGCCCCTTGCGTGATGACCTTACGTGTGTGTTTCTGTTACGGTCATCGCTGCACGTGCGTCATTTCAGCCCACTTGCCGCTGCCACCCCCTGCACACTCAGCAGAGTTATGCAAGCAGAAACGCTGCTGGCCAGAATCAGCTTCAAGAGGGGTGCACGTCAACCCACATGATATACATACCTCATACAGTAGCTTTGCCTCGAGCTCCCTTCTAGAATGGCACCTTGCCTAGTCCTTGTGCGCTTCTTTTGTGTTGTGAGCCCCGCTCCTATCTGGTAAATGACCAGTGTTGTGGTGTGCATGCACACCACCTGCCGCCCAGCACATGTGCTCGCTTCAGCGGCGAACGGCATGGTAAATTCCGCACCCTCCTTCCCGTGGGGGGCAGAGGGCAGGCGCGCGCAATCCCTGCAAAGTTGTCCAGCGATATACAGTACAGTGGCAGCAGCCGCCGGCTGACTCCCTTGCATACGACATGACATGTTTGTTTGTTGTAATTGCAAACTCTCATACTGAGTTCTGTGGGCGTCCTGTGCGCGGCGATGGGTTAAGCAAGCGGTGAGTCTTGATTCGTTGCAACATGCTCGCAACCCTGGACGACGTGCTCCCCGCCTGCACTGTCCCTCACAACTTGGGGCACGTGCCACACCCTACCACATGCTCACGGCGCACTCTGCCACACACAAACCAGTAACCTGGCTTGCCACGCGTGCGAACCCTTGCCACCCTGTATCAGCGAGCTCATGTGCACAATCAAGCACGTGCTGTTTGCGCATGCTCACTAGAGACCTAGCTTGCTTTGTGCATGTGCACGACTCCATATACTTACGTCTAATACCTGGTGGTATTCATCATACACGCTAAGCCTAGCAGTGACCCGCAACAGGCAGGCAATGATACCCTGCGGCGCATAACAGGAGCCTCAAATCTTTGTAACAAGCAGTGATGGGTGGGCGTGGGCTGAGCAATGAGCCAAGCTGCAGCATGGGCTTGTACCAACTGCAAATCACTTTCAGGCGCCCAGGAGCATTGCGTGCAGTCTTGCAATTAAGTTGTCATACAATGTAGGGACTGGGTTGACTTTTTGCGCGCCCGCCCCGGGCGCCGCTCTGTCCCCGGCCACTCCCGCTCGCTTCCCAGGTGAATGCAAGGCGCCTTCGAGCATGCGTATCGGATGTGGCAGGATGGTGGGTTCATGGCTCGGATGGGGGTGGGGCGCACACTGTCACTGAACCACGTGGTCACCTGGTGAGTGTGCAGTGCAGCCGCTGGCGCTGCAATACGTCCTGCGGCAGTCGGCTTGTCGGTGCTGGTGTGTCAGTTTAGGTCTCAATTCCTTTTGCCCGTCTTCGCCCTCATTGTCGTAACAATGCTTGTCCTAGATTGCACACGGACTATGATAGTGTAACGATAACGGAGGACCCAGGATCTGAAGGCTGTGTCCCGGAAGAACATTAGCTGCAAACAATTGCTACTACAGCATATATCAGCATCGTGGCGCGCATAGTGTCAGATCACGCGGGTTGCAGTCTGGAGTTGGCCTTTTCCCGCGTGCGGGTGTACATGCAAGTAAGCTCGATCCGCCCATGACACTGACCAGCAGCAGGCTCACAGCTGCGGACCCTTGGCTGCGCGCAGCGCTGGACGTGCAGCGCCAAGTGACGCAGCAGTGCCCGAGCAGCTGGCGTGCGGCATGGCTACACCCTCACACCCTGCTCTTGCTCCCATTTCATCAAGCAGATGTTGCTAGGGCTGCGTGGCCTGCCAGCCAACGGATCTTACGCCTAGCTGCCTGCCCGGGAGGGCGGCGGCGATGGTGGGCGCAAGCGGGGAGGTTCCATGCTCTGCGCCGCAGCAGGAGCATGCCGACGCAGCCGCAGTAGATGAGGGCAGCTCGGAAGTGGAGGATGAAGCGGATGAAATGCAGGAGGAGCAGGAGACGCCTGGCCCCAGCAGGCTGCGTTCGCGGTCGATCCTGCGCAGCGGCCCCGGAGCCCCTGACCCCCCTGGCGAGGAGCGCGTGAAGCACACTGTTTCCTGGAACGACTTCCAGGGCAGGACCCTGACTGACGTCAAAGAGTTTGAGCCCAGGCAAGTAGCTAGGGTGCCAACGGAGGCTTGTGGGGGGGGGCTTGAGCAGGACAGCTGCAAGCAGCGGGGCTGCCGGCAGGGGCTGGGGATTGGATGTAGGTGGGGCTGCTGCAGACGCGGCGACACCATCTGCTTGACAGAAGCACACGGGGGACGCGCGCCGGTGTTGTTGGCCGGGGGACGACGTGTGGCGGCACCGCCCAAAATCTCTGCCATGCACTCTCCTCCAGCAGCTGGCAGTGCGGCTTACTTTCCAAACGCCACCCCTCTCGCCCTCTCCTCTCCAATTAACGCAGCGAAAGCAGCGAGGACCACTCAGTGTCTCCGGAGCCTCTGCCACCAAAGGGCACGTGCTGTATTGTTTCCTAGCGCCGCGCTCAGTGCTACCTACTGGTTGGATGCTTAAAAATACGCACACATTGGTCAGCCCCTGCATAACCTGCGGCAAGTTTCCCGATTGCCGCCGCAGCAGGCCTGCGACTGCTGCTGACCCTGGCCTTTGCCTTGTGCATAGGCCGACTGCAAGCCACCCAGTGGTGGGCTGCTGAAACTGTTTCATGCAAGCTCGCAATGCTTGGCGCTCATCCGATTTATTCAGCGCAGTCCTCGTCCAACTTTGTTGTTGGTATCGAGACAATCAGCAGGCATGCGCTGCGCTCGAATTGCAAGCAGCTGGCAGCGCTTCTTGCTGAGGGCTATGGGCCGGTGAACAAACCCATTCTTGCATGCGCTTTGCTCAACACCCATCGTTTGGTGCACGTGGTCACGGCCTTGTCACGCGCTACCCCTCAGATAATATGCTGCCTGCTTGGTAAAACCTTGTAGTGGCCGTTGCAACAGGAATGACAGCAGCCGCCGGGAAAGCACCCCATTACAGTTGACGAATTATGTACTTCCTCCTTGACGGCCAGCCTTACTCACAAGGAGGAAGGAAGGCGGGCGGCCACAAATCTGTTCACGACGACGCACATGCAGCCTCAAAACACAGTCGGGCCGCCACTGCTGCCGTCTTCTCCAGCGCATTCGCTGCTGCTGCTGCCGCCCTGTTTCGCAGCCACAGCCTCAGCCTCGGCCTCCTCCTTGTCCGCAGCATGTGCCACCAGGTCTGACAGGCTCACGAAATCAAGCGCCTTGATGTGTGTAGATGCCAGCATCACCTTTGGTGCTTTGCCAGCGCGCTTCGCCTCGGCCCACCTGAGTTTGTGGGTGCATGTTTGCATGCGAGCGTGCGTGCTGAGCAAAGGAGCCACCAGTGTATGTGCACGGGGCCATTATGGAGCAGGCTATCGGTTGCGCGGCCACTTAAGCTGTTGCAACCGCAGCAAGTGCACATTGTCCGTGCGCATCAGGCACACGACTGAGGGCACGGCTGGGTTTGTGCACCAGCACAGCTCGCAGCGTAATTCACAAGCTGGTGGCAAGCAGTTGGTGCCTTGGGGCGTCGGCTCACCTGGAAGCACATAGGCACCAGCGGTCCCCGGGCTGTTGGGTGTTGGGGTGAGAGAAAGAAAGGAGGAACAGGTGAGGTCGGTGGGGCAACGACGACACAGTATGCGCCATGCCCAACCTATGATGATGCAAGCAGCCGACGCCATGGGCTCTGTCCCGTATCTGGTCGCATGGCCCCTGTTGCTACATATGTGCGGAGCCATCAGCTCGTGCTGGAAGCCCACGTGCACACACCTTGAGGCCGGGGAACCAGGGGCTTGGGGTGGAAAGGTCATTCCCCCTGGTAGAGGTGAGTTGGCAGATTGGGCGTGGCAGTTTGGCCGGGCGTTTGGCAGGCCGGTACTTGGCAGAAAGACGCATCTGTGCATGAAGCTGCACCCCGGGCAAAAGCAGCGCGCGCCACCTACTGTGCTGCTGTGTAGGACAGGAACTCCTCCGTAACCTGGGGAAGATGGCAGGGCAAGGGGGCAGGGTGGGGCTGCAAGGACATGAAGGCGAGGCTATGTCATCCCAAACAAAAGAATCTGCGACTGCACGCAGCGGGCGTCGTCGCCTGGGCGAGGTGACTGCGTGGAAATAGCAGCAGGCGGCGGCGCACTTGGGCGCAGACGACGTGGACGCCGACGTCGCCGCCGCCAGTCCTGCAAAATCCGTCACGGTAATAGCCTGCGGGGTGCGGTGCCGTGGCCAGGGTAGTGAGCTGCAGCAGGGGCCAGCGGGGGTGGGGGGCGGGGGCGGTGCCATGGCCAGGGAAGTGAGATGCAGCAGGAGCCATCTTGTCCCCAACAAGTTGTTTGGCTGCCAATGGTCGAGCCCAGCGGCCGCTGCTCCCCGCATCAGCCATGCCCATCTGCCAAGCACCTGTCAATGGGCTAGTGCAGCAGCACTTGAGCGGCCCGCCCAGCACGTTTGCCGCTGGAGCCTCCGCCATGCTGCCGCCAGCGCTCTGCAGTGATGTGCACACGAGGCAGATGCTTGTGCATCGCGCGCGCAGTTGCACGTTCTCATGCGGCAGGCTGCAGCAGCATAGCAGTGTTGCCATATGAAACACTACGCCACCCCGAATAATGCTGCCTACCACAGCGGCCAGCAGAGCAGCCAGGCCGAGGTGCTGCAAGAAGCGCACCGCCTTTGAAGCTGCCTGCAGCCGTTGCGTCGCACAACGCGCCGCTGGAGATTGAGACAACCTGCGTTGTATTCAGGTAGTGAGCAGGGGTAGTTGCTTCCTTTCCGTCCCGCTCACAATGGGATGGAGCGCAGATCGCTGCATGTGGCGCAAGACCCACCTTGCAATCATTGCGCTGCCACTCCTGCTGCAAAACATAGCTTATGATTACGTGATACCGCTCGTGCTGTGCATGAGCTTGCGTGACATTGGCAGGAGTGACGCGCAGCCAGGTGGAACAGATTTTCTGCAGCCTGATGAGCCAGTCATCATGCATGGGGTTGTATCATAAATGGCGCTGTTTGCAGCAACTAGAAATGGCATGCCAATTACTGCACCACTATCATAGATTCTCTGCACCCTGCTCTTCGTGTTGACCTACGGTAAGGTTTATACACAAGTGGACTTATTACCCCGGTTGCAGGCGCGGCCGCTTCGTGTCCAAGGGGCGTGCCAGTGGGGCTCTTGAGAGCAGGGCGGCAGGGTAGACGGGCGGTTGGGCGGGCTGAGCACCCCCCCAACTACATCGAACATGAGCACCTGTTGATGAACTTTTAACCAACCCCAACCTTCGTTATCCCTATTGGGCCCTACTGGGCATGCCTGCATTTCAATTTCTGCGCGGCATTGAACGCTTGCAACCCCCTGTGGTGGCATGGAGTCAAGTATATGTACACATTGTGTTTCTCTGAAAATTACCTGCTCATACAAGCGCACCTCAAGATAGCCTCTCCGCTGTTGGCAATGCAACAAAAAGCAGTGAACCAGGACTGCAGGCGCAAGGCGGGCGGGTACCGCGGGTGGCACACTATCAGTTCCCAGGCCAGTGGAACGCGCCGTAACAACTCAGCAGAAAGAGTTTGCGGGTCACACGGTCGGGGGCTAGGTGCCGACGCAGTGTAATTTTCAATGTGTGGCTGGTGTAATGGGGCGTTGGGCCGGGGGCACGTGGGGCAGGAGGTGGGCGGCAAGCGCGCGTGTCGGGGATGTCACGAGCGCGTTGGGTGGGTGATGTGGGGTTTCGTATAGATGCGACCTGCAGCTGGCACGGTGGGGTGCAAGTGTTTGTGCGGTGTCTTTCTGTGTGTGGCCGAGTGCGGTGAAGGTCTTGTGGTGGGGTGTCGGCTGGTGTGCAACACATGCTGGCGGACGAGTTGGTAGTGTTGGGGTGGGCGACGGAGCCCAGCAGCACGAGCACCGCCAGGCAGGCGAGCAGCTGGCGATGCTTGGTTTGAGAAATGGTCAGGCGGCCATGGGCACTGTCCGTCGCGGTTTGATGATGGCGCTTTCAATGTTATTCTCGTCACGACCATCGTATCGTTGCGCTCGTTTGTCCGATTCCGTGGCTTGGTGACCCTAGTCTGTCGTGCTGTCCGGGCAGCTTGTGGTGGGCGCGTTGCTGTTGAATCAGATTGAGTTTATTCCCGTCGTAGCATGCATGCAGTGACGAGGGTCAATTGCCAGGTTAGTCGAGACCTTCAGCAGATGGGGAGGTCTTGCGGTGCGCGCATGCTCATGTATGAGCACGCGACCCCTGACCGCGGCCGTTTGTCGTGCCCACTCTGAATGTCAGGATGTAGGGGGCTGGAGAGCCGCTCGATGTGGGCGTCAGACCGTTTGACCGTAATGTGGGGGTGCAGGTCGATGCGGTGCGCGGGCGTGGGCGTGGGCGTGGCGTTGGGCCCGGCCCAGGGCGGTTGTCGTGGCCGACAAACATCTGGGCGCGTCAGCAAGGCAGAGGGCGCAGTGGCATCATGAACGCGGGCGTGGCGAGGAGGCAGGCCCTGGTGGCAGGGGGTGCTACGCGAGAGGATCGCAGCGCCGCGGCGGTTGTCGCGGGGCAGGCTTCCTGGTCGGCGCACAGCGCATACGTGCGCCGTGGGGCCCTGGCGCGGCTGCTTGCGCCTGCGCTTCGCCCTGCGGCGCTCGCTGCGGCCGCACAGACTGCAGCTGTCGCTGCGGAGTCTGCGGCAGCCGCCCATCAGGGCGCGGCGGCGGCGGCGGCGCAGCAGGCTCGAGAGCGCCTGGCATCTGTGTGCGTGCAGCTGCAGGAGTCCGTCGCGCTGGAGGACGGCTGAGTGTACGTCAGTCGGAGACGCTTGTCGGCAGGATCGACAAGGGCGGCGACGCGCTCGGGGTGCTGTCTGGCGCGGCAGCGCTGGAGGCGGCTGTGGGCTTTGGGTTGGGGGCGGCGGGGCTGGCGAGCCCCAATCTGGACACGCCACGCGAGGGCGCCGCGGCGCAGGGCGCCCTGGCTGCGCTCGTGATGAGCGCTGTTGGGATGCTGGATACGTCCCAGCCGGCGCTGGTGGTCCGCGATGACACGTCATGCCATCATCAGCAAGTGCTGCCACGCGCCCGGGAGCGCGCGTGAGGTGGCCGTCGCTCTTGGGCCGCGCGGAGCGCCCAGGCAGATCGCTCTGCCCAGGTGCTGCACGCGGCCCGGGCACAAGGCCACCGCCGCAGCGATGTTGCTGTTGCGGTGGCGGCGGCGGTGCAGGTGGACGACGCGGCCCTGGCGGGGCAGCTTGCCGAGTTGCCAGTGGCTTTGCAGAGCAGGGATGACCTGCGCGCAGCGCAGCTGACAGAGGGATGGGTTTGCGTGTGTCAGGTGAGAGCGCTGCGGGGCTTTTTGTGCTGTTTCGCAGATAGTGAGCGATCGGCGGTCGGTGTGTTTGAGCGTGCAGCCTGCTTCCTGCAGGAATGTGCTCAGGTGATGTATCGAAGGGCGATACATCACCCTTCTCGTGGGCAGGGTGTCCAACTCCTTCCAGCTCGCCAAAGACGCCGCTGCTGGGGCGGCCGGCCAGAGCGATGAGCTGGGAGTGGGACCGCAGGAGGGTGTCCCTGTTGAGATCATGCCCCAGTTCGTTCCTGCTGGTGTGCGTAGGCCCACAGGGGCGACGTCGTCGTTGCAAGCGGGGGCGGGGCTGGGTGCTAAGCGGTGGTGGAGGCGAGCTTTGGCCGCATGGGTTTGGCGTTGTCGGTCAGTGTTGATGTACCTTGTTATGCACGCCATCAATTGCGGGGGGAGGTGGTGGCCCTGGCTGCTATTCGTGGCTGTGCAGCTGTTGGGGTGCGAGCAGCTTCTGTGCGTGCTGTTCTGACCTGTGCACATGGACACCTCCCCTTCCTTTGTAGGCGACTCGAGAGGCAACGCCGGGGTCGTTTGCAGACGAGCGCGTCATCGGTGACTAACCTTGTATTACGAGGCCTCCACGACTGTGGTTGTCATCCTACGTGGCTTCCGGGAGCTGCACGCTGTGCGAAACCTGAGGATCGATGTGCTCTAACGCGTACCTCAAGCTGGGCTGCGAGAGGAGATGTGCAGGCTGGTGGGTTGGGGGTAAGGGCGGGCGGGCCGGCGTGTCTTGATATGCACACACCCCTCTGACCATGGGATCTGTGTGGTTTGTGGCCCAAGGGGCTCGCCTGCGTTGGGCTGTTGTTGAGTTTGCTAAGGTTTCTTTCCCTGTATGCGTCATGATGTTTCCTCTGTGCTGCTGTGCGGCTCTGTTCGTGCGGGTTGCGCCCTTATCTGGCGCTGTTCTTCCCTGCGCCGCGCTCTTTATTTGCAGTACCCGCACGACAAGGTCAGGGCGGAACCGGTGCTGAGCTCAATGGTGGGGGCTGCGGTGGCGCAGATTGCGCCGGAAGGTTAGGACCCACTGGGTGCTTATGCAGGGGAGAGGCTGCTGGCCTCTTCGCTGCAGGATCTGTGCTTTATCAGGGTGCTGACGTCGGTGGAGTGCGGGGACCGGGCTGGTGAGCTGGGCGACTGGGTGAGGGGGCAGCGCACGGTGGAGCGACGGGCACTGCGCTGCTCGTTGATCACTTCGCGCTGCTGCTTTTAGAAGCAAACAGGGGTGCCAGCACGATGGTAGCAGGTTGTCTTGGCGTGGCAAGCTGTGGCAATGTATGACCTGCCTGCCACTCTCTTTGCACGCTCGCAGTGCACGTGCTCTCGCGTTGTTATGGTGACGTGCTTATCTTGGCATTGTATGTCATGGGATGATGACAACGCCGTGCAGATGTGCTCGCGCCTGCAGCAGCCAAACAGCAAGACAGACGCGGCTGCGCTGCCCGAGGTTTGCACGGCTGGCGCGGTGTTCAGGCACTCGCAGCCGTCGGAGGAGCGCTTGCGCCAATCAATGACCGACTTTGGCCTGTGGCTGTAGGCGCGGGCTTGGGTGCCGAATTTAACAGAGCATGCGGCGTGGGGTGACGTGCTGCGCTGCCCGCCCCTCAACAGCCGCACGCCGTTGGTGCCCTTCGTGCCGGCGGTTGGGCGCGACGGCCTGCCTGCCGAGCGCCCCGTCGACTCTGGGTGCTGCGCCGGAGCTGTTTTCTGTGCTGCTGAACGCTGTGGGGTTTCCTGGGCGCATGCTGCACTGTGAGAGCACCACGTGCGTGGCTGTTCTCGTTGTGCTCGCCCGCTCCCGTGCTGCGCACGGTGCTGGGTCGCGTGGTGGTGGCTGTCCCGTTTTGTGAAAGTGACGGGGCGGCGCGCTCTCATCTCCTCTCTGAGCAGGGGCGCGCTCCGGAGGCATCCTGAGACTGCTGCCGCTGGTGTTCGTGCGGTTCTGCCACATCCCAGCTGCGTTCGACCACTTTGTCGAAATGAGGGGTGGCTGGACGCCCGGGTCGCGGACTGTGCGGGACTAAAAGCGCGTCGCGCTATACCACCTGCTGGCGGCTGCGTGGGCAGGGCGCGGCCCTGGACCAGGCCAAAGCGAGGGACCTGGAGACTGCGGTGTGTAGTGCAGGTGTGTCGGCTGCAGGCGCTTTGGGTTGCGGGTGTGGATATGATGATTGCCTTTGCTCGCGTGGGGGCTTGCCACGTGTTTTGGGCGGAGCAACGCTATGTTGTTGGGCGCACCTCACGTCTGCTGCCGATGATGCTTGTGCCGAGCTGTGGAGGCGTTTAGGGGTGCGGCTGGCGCACGTCGAGCCGTGCGCTGTCCCTAGGGCGCCGTAGATGTGGCCTGTAAGTCCCTGGCGGTACAGGCGCGGGCGTCCAGCGCGAGGCTCGCGAGGCTGAGCTGCACGCGTCCGGCTTCTCGACACTTGGGCCTGCAGCTTGCCGTGGAGTCGGCGGCGGCAACGGGGGGCCGCGCAGTGCCTGCACTGTGGGGGATGGCCCCCCGTTGCCGCCGCTGACTCCACGTTGTCTGGTCGTGCTGGTGTCCGCCGCCTGAACGTGCCTCAGGCGGATGTGCAGGCCACGCTGAATGTGCCCAAGTTCAACATCGCCACTCTCAGCCGTGGCATGAAGCAGCCAGGGTTGAGCAGGCGCGGCGCGGCCCCCAACGAGGCTGCTGAGGCTGCCGAGGGGGTGGCTGCCTTGCTCGTGCGCGTGTCCGGTAGCGGCACGTGGGCAGCCTTTGAGCTTGCTGCGGCGTCGGGCGCAGCGCGTTACATGGAGCGGGATGGGGGTGTGGCAGCAGCAGCCGTGGATGTAGTGACGCACAACCCTTGGCAGCGGCTGCCTTACTCTATCGTGTTCAAGCGGCACTGCCACCGATGCAGGGTTAGCGTTGCGGCGGCCGTCCCGCTCGATTTGGCGCGGATAAGGGCTGGTCAGCTGCCGGCGGTGCTGCCGCTGGATTCTAACTCTGCGCGGCTGACGACCAGGCTAACTTGGAGTTCCACGACACCTCTGCAGTGCTGGAGGCTGCGGCGCAGTCGTGGAGGCCCCAGCAGCTGCCACGCGTTGTGCACCAGGCAGCGCACCAGGAGGCAGCGTTGGCATTCATGCGGCTGCTGCAGCGTGTTGATGTGGCTGCTGAGCCAGCGGGGCCTGAGGAGGTTGAGGTGCTGCGGTGGCGCGCGTGCAGGGCCTTGCTGGAGGTGCTGCGGGATGGAGGTCATGGCCAAGGCGTCGCGCCGACAGGGCCGCTACCTGCCCGCTGTCTTTGTGGACCAGAACCTTCACCCTCTCATGAAGCAGAGGTGCGTGATTGCCGGGCTGCGTGCATGGGTTATGGGAGGTGGGAGGGTGCGTGTGGCTCACTTCTGAGGGCTGTGCAGCAAGGTCAAGGGTGGGTCTCGCTCGAGAGGCATAGGTCGCACGGTTTTGCAGATGTGTGTTGGGCACGTGTGTATGAGCTGTTTTGTTGCGGGGGTGTTATAAAATCCTGTTTTGTAGGCGGTGGCGCTCACAATCGTTTGCCGTTTGAACCTATCTACTGTGCACGGGGTTCAGCATTTTTTCCTTGGTGAAGTTGAAGCTGGCGATGGCCACTGCAGCTGCTGGCGGGCTAGGCTTGCCGTCGCTGGGCCAACTGCAGGCGCTGGGGTGCATGGTTAGCGGAGAGTACCGCCCGAGTTTGCTGCTGTTGCGGCCGGCGCGCGTGGCGCCGCTCTGGGGCGCGCAGGCGCTCGCAGGGTTCGCGGAGCCTGTTCCGCGGCCTCGCCACATGCAACTGTCCATCCGCAGTTCTGGCAAGCCTGAGTTGTTGGCTGGCGCAGGGGGCGGCGTTGCCAGCGATGGGCAGACGCCTGGGGCACTGGGTAGCCAGTCTATCGCCAGCACGGTGCCCACGTCTGGTAGCAGCGGCGCCTTTCTGGGCGCGGTTGCGATGGTGCCAGCCACGGGACGGCTCACGGACGGCCTGGCCAGCGACGGTGGTGGCGGCTGGGTTGCTGGGCCCCAGGCTGCCCCAAGGATGTCGGCGCTTGGCGGGCTGGCTGGCTCGTTGGGGGTGGCGTGTGGCGTCGCAGCGGCTGGTGCACCTTGGGGCTGGTGGTGGCGTCGCGCGCAGCCTTGAGCACGCGCCTGGCGAGTCACCTCTGGTGGCTGCGTGCAGCTGCGTGCTTTGACAGCCAGCTGCCAGCCGCAAGCGGGCGCAGTACCAGCGGTGCTGCGGCAGCGCCTTCGTTGCAGCCTGACGCGTTTGCTGGCAGCGTGATGCGCGCGCCCAGCGTCGCCACAGTTGTCGCGGCTACCCAGCGCTGGGTCGGCGGCTGCAGACGCGGCGCTGCAGCGGCTGCGGACGCGGACGCGCCTGCTGACGGTCGTGACGGGTGGTGTCATGATCCCAGGCTGCATTCCTGCGAGGTCTGGGCACGCTGTGGCGGCAGCCAGCATTTGGGTGCTGCGGGCGCTGTGGGGGATGACGGGGCTGCCATCGTGCTGGTGGGCGTGCTGGGCTGGACTTTCCCGAGGCGCACAGGCTCGCGGGTGCCCTGCACGAGGCATTTGTGTGCGATCCTGTGGCCTTCTGTGGCCCTTTTGTGGGTTGCCAGTTGCCAACAAGCAAGCGGTGGAGAGGCGTAGGCAGCAGCTGGAGCGTGCGCTCTGGTGTCGGCGCAACTTCTTCTTTTCTGGCCATCTCCATCAGGATCAGGATTATGATTGTTACATCTGTGCGAGAGCGACACCTGGCTGGCGCGCACCCCGCTGCGGCTCTCGCATCGGGGGTGGAAGTGGTGGTGAGTAGCAGCAGCAGCGGCCGGCCAGTAGCAGCAGTGGCAGTGACAGTGTCAGCAGGGGCGGTGGCAGCGCTGATGGCAGGGATTGTAACGGTGAAGACGGTGAGCGTTGAGGCCGGAGGGTTCGAGCTTGCTGGGGATGCTGGGTGGTGCGGGTTGTAAGTCATGCTTGCGAGGTCACAATGATGTTTTGGGGGCGGAGCGCGTGCCTGTCATCCCAACTGAGATGCCGCTTTGCGCCTCGGTGTCCTTTCATGTATAGGTGGTGGCGCTGCGGCATCTGGCTTAATTGATGAGGCGCTGCGTCACGCCGCATCCCGGGGCGCATGGCTGCACACCGTCGTCACGCCAAGGGCCACCATCTGCCGTATGCGTAGCAGTCAAACGAGGTGCCGGCGGTGCATGGGCTGGCTGTATGTGGTGGAAAATTTGCATGGCGGCGGCGGCAGCAGCTCCATTGCAAGACGCGCGTGGCACCGTCCTGAATTCTCAGTCACGCAACACTGATGCTACAAAGTCGTATCCCATGAGCCTGGATGGCTTCAGGAGCGGGCCGCGGAACTTGTAACAATCCTAATCTCGATCCTCATCCACCGTAGTGGCCCTCGGCCGCGCGGTCCAGGAGGTGGCAGAACTTTGTGTCCTTGCAGGGTCTGCACACTGGCGTGTCCTCTGCTGCTACGTTGCTGCTAGCAGTAATCACAATCCTGCAACGCGCGCCTGCTAGCCCGCGGAGCAGCCTGCTGTTCTGCCAGCTGCGGGTGCTTGCAGGGGTACAGTACTTGGCACCCGCCGGCCGCACAACGGCACGCTGCCCAGCACTGCCGGGAACAACACGGGTGCAGCGGAAGGCCGCAGTGAGTGCCCGCAGCAGCCCGTGCGCATTTATGCACCTGGGCCGCTGGCAGCGCAGCGCTTGCATGCGCGGCACGCGCTGCATCTGCTGCACGCGCTGGGTGTGCTACGCATCCGCGAGCTGCACCACGGCAGCGAGCTCACAACTGGATTTGGCAATTGCGGGCGATACGTACAAGAGACCCACACGGCGCGCCCGTCTGCGTTGTACCACAACAATGAAACAACCACCAGAGGAATCCATTGCAACGTAACAGGAGCAGAGAGCTGATAAGTCAAAAAACACAAAACAAACTTGCGTTCGAGAAGCAGCAAGGCAGCCGCATGCAGCTATGCTAACACACCCCTCCACCCCAGCACACTCGTTCAAGCATCAGACACCCTCCCGCCGACTGACATAGCAAGATGATTGTTTTTTAAGTTTGATGGAATCGGAGGTCTGCGCTCAGCGGGCTCGTGCAGCACGAGTGACACGAGTGACCTCGCTTACTAAAAGCCCCTTGCCCCCGCTCCAGATCGGTGCGGGGGTCGTCAGCCGGCAGGACTCGTGTGGGCACAAAGCTGCGCGCCATTTGCCCCCTGCTGAGCTGATCAGCTCGTTCATGAACGACCGCTGCGGCAACGTGTGCGCGGCGGGCAGCTGCCCATACGCTGCCGACCCTCGGGCTGTGATTGGCATCTAGGACTGGAGGATGTGGTGTAGCTGCAGCAACGCGCGCGCCAGGTGGACGCCTGCTTGTTTTTTTGCCGCAACAGAGGTGGCGAGTTGCCTATGTGCGGGTGTTGGTGCTGCAAAGGTGCAAATCTGGGTGCATTTGTTTGTGTTCTTTGTTGATGGGTGTGTGTCTTTTGGGGCCGCGCTTCTTCTGGTGATGTGTGGTCAAGGAACACTTGGTTTTTGGTGTCGAGCTGTTTGCACTAAGGAGTCTGGGTGCTGCATGGCAATACGGTAGAGTGCTAGTGTTGCCAACTGATTGATTTGCGCAAGCGATGAGCGCCCAGAGGCGCGGCGGCCCGCTCATCATGTTCGCAACGTATGCGGGCGCGCTGCTCTGGGATCATCTCAAGCTGCGCTGCGGTCTGCAGGCTGACGGCGGCCGCAAGCTGACAATGATTTGGGACGAGGTGCAGTGGGCGATGCAGATCGCCCGGGAGGCTGTGGCTTCCCGCCCCGTTGGTATGGTTGGCAACTGCGGCGGCCTTCAGCCGCTGCGCTCGACTGCAGCCCGTTGGTATGATTGGCAACTGCATCCTGGTACCGCTCACAGAGCACCTTGGAGGCTTCTGGGCATTGCGTTCAACTCGCCCTGTAACTCTGTGCAGGCAGCGCCATGCGGCGGCGCCATGCGGCGGCGGCACAGCCCAGGCCAGGCTCCCGATAATGAAAACGACATGCGCCTCACTGCATGCATGCGAGTTGTGTTCGGTGACGTATTTTGATTCGCACCGACCTGGAAGATTGGGATTCTAAATCGGAGGAGGACGCACCGCGCGGCCATGCAAACGCGAGATCATTCCAGGCCGGGGAGGGGCCGTGCGTGGCAAGCGGAATGCGGCATCAATCAATGCTGCGGAGGGTGAAGGCGCGGACGGGCAGGATGAGCGGCACGATCAGCCACAGGAGGGCTTCGCGCATGCCAGGTGCGGCTGCCATTCAAGGAGAGCAGCTGCAGGGTAGCTGAGGCTGGGCGTGGGCAGGGACAAGGGCAGAGCTGCGGCTTTGGCATGGG